TTCAATAGTACATGCATCAACCTAGGAAGCTCCAGCTCCACAAACTAAACACATCTCATTTTTCCTTTCCACCTCTCCCACTTAGCATTCATTTTTGGGTTTTGCACCTGAGTAATTATAGATCACAAAACTAATCAAATCCTTCCTAAATCATTTTCACAAATGGCTTTTGGAAGGATTCGAAATAACAAAAGACCCTCATCTTCCTCAAATTCATACCTCTCAACCATCACCACTGTAGTCTTCATAGGCCTCTGTGTTTTGGGTGTATGGATGCTCACCTCTGATAGTAATTTAGTCGCTCCTAAAGCCACTACTCACGCTTCTACCACTGTTTCACATGATGAATCCAGTGATCTTACCAACCTCAACAAACCTAATGAGAAGATTAATACAGGGACATTTGAGGATAACCCTGGAGATCTCCCCGAAGATGCCTTAAAAACAGGCGAGTCTCAAAAATCTCAGGAAGAGCATAAAATTTCAGATCAATCGAGTACTAAGGACTATTCTAAAGAGTCTAATGTGGGAGTTTCCTACCAACATATTGCGGAAAGAAAGGATTCAACACAGGAAAATGAAGCTAAAATTGATGGCACTGGTAGCAAGGCGAAAGAGAAAGAACCTGATGATGAAAATGCTCAGAGTCTGGGTGGCAAAGATTCAGAACATGAAAAGCAAAATGAACGCCAGTTACAAGTTTCAGAAGAAAGCATGCTCACTGAGAAGCAGAACATTCAACAAAGTGTTTTACTTGATCAGGACAGCAACAAGCCTAAACAGCAAGAACAATTTGTAGAGAGCAAAGATGGTGATCAGCAAAATGCAAGAGAACAAAGTAATGAAGAGGCAGCACAGAAGTATGACAATCAACAGGCTTTGGAAGATGATCAACAACAGGACAGAGAACAACAGAAAGCTAACAACCAACAGACAGTGGAGAACCAACAGGATCAGGAACAACAGAAAGCTAACAACCAACAGACAGTGGAGAACCAACAGGATCAGGAACAACAAAAATCTATTAATCAACAACAGACTGTAGAGGAACAGCAACAGCAGGATGAGAAACCAATCACATTTAGCGATGAGACAAAGAGCGATCCATCTAAACAGGATAGCAGTGAAGATTCAGATGCTAAACAGGAAAAAGAAGACACAAGCAAGCAAGACAAACTGAAAGACCAATAGCAAGAAAACGAAGCTGCCAAACAGGGAGATCCTGAGCAGGAGACTGAGGGAAATACACAGACAAAGGACTCAACGGGATCAACTGATGATAAATCTAAGGAGTCAAACTCACTCCCAAACTCGGGGATTCCAAAGGAATCCAATGAATCCAAAAGGTCATGGTCGACTCAGGCAGCTCATTCCAATGATGAGAAACAAAGGCGGAAGGAGAATGTTAAAGGACAAGTTGAGAAGAGTCTATATGGGTACACATGGAAACTCTGTAATGTGACGGCAAGCTATGACTATATACCTTGTTTGGACAATGTGAAAGCATTAAAAAGATTGCGCAGTACAAAACATTTTGAGCATCGTGAGAGGCATTGCCCGGAGGATCCCCCCACTTGCCTAGTGCCCATTCCTCAAGGCTACAAAAAACCTGTCCAGTGGCCACAAAGCAGAGATAAGGTGAGATTATCTTACAACAAATTTCACCTATTCCCTAAAGTCAGCAAGATATACATGTTTGTTTTGATTAAAGTACCAAAATTTAACATGAGATATATGTCTATATATTACTTATGTGCCGTCAAAAAAAAATATTACTTATGCACTACAATGTTATGCTTGTTTTGTCAGATTGTAAATCAGCTTTATACTAGTTTGAGAGTAATTAAAATTTACCTGTGTGGAATTTGGCAGATTTGGTTTCATAATGTACCCCACACAGAATTAGCAAAGGTTAAAGGCCATCAAAACTGGGTTAGAGTTTCAGGGGAGTTCTTGACTTTTCCAGGCGGTGGAACACAATTTATACATGGTGCTCTTCATTACATTGATTTCATTGAAAAGGTGAGTTATCTTTGCACCACTGCCATGTCTACAAAGTCAACTGAGGAATGCACAAGGTGAGAAGAAAGACATCAGCAAAGTTTCACTTACAAAAATTTTCAATCTGTGAGAAGGGGTCTTATCCTGCCGTTTCTTAATCACAAAATTATTATATTTGAGCTGCTAAAACATATAAAAGAAAAGAATTCACACGCTCATCTTTAACTATAAGATTTAAAAAAAAAAAAAAAGGAAATATAAAACAAAAGAATTCACACGCTCATCTCTAACTATAAGATAAAAAAAAAAAGAAAGGAGTACATACACACACACACCGCACAGTGAACACACAACATATATTAATGCTGCAGATAAAGGCAGAATAACTGATACTGACTGTTATTTGTCTACAGACTGTCCCAGGAATAAAATGGGGCAAGCACACAAGAGTAGTATTGGATGTTGGATGTGGTGTTGCAAGCTTTGGAGGTTTTCTTTTTGATAGGGATGTACTTACAATGTCATTTGCGCCCAAAGATGAACACGAGGCTCAGGTCCAGTTTGCCCTTGAGAGAGGCATACCTGCAATATCTGCCGTAATGGGTTCTCAGAGGCTCCCATTCCCTAGCAGAGTGTTTGATGCAGTGCATTGTGCTCGTTGTAGGGTTCCCTGGCATGCAGAAGGTTAATAGTCTAAACTTCAGTTCATTTAAATGGTTCATTTACATTGTTAGTTTGTTGCTCTACCATTCAACATCAAAAATAAAAGGGCAACATAAGACTATATCCCAAATAAATAGTTATCTGAAGTACGTTCTTTGTGGTAGACTTTTACTCGAAAAAGAGGATTGACTGGTTTATGGAATATCCTGTTATTAATTCTAATGAAGAAAGTTTAATGTTCTTGGAATTTCTATGAAGGTGGTAGACTTTTACTTGAGCTGAACCGAGTACTACGACCTGGAGGGCATTTTATCTGGTCAGCTACACCTGTGTACCAAAAGCTTAAAGAAGACGTGGATATATGGGAAGGTATTTTCGTTTTGATATATGAACTAGGAAACTAAATTTTAACAATTAACACATGCATATTCGAAGAAACTGATTAATATAGTTTTATGTTATCAGCCATGTCTGCACTAACTGCATCAATGTGCTGGAAGCTTGAGAAGAAAGAGAAAGATCCTATAAATAAAATTGGAGCTGCCATATTTCGCAAACCAACAAACAATGAATGTTATGACAAGAGAAAGGAAAATAAACCTCCAATGTGTAAGACTGATGATGATCCGGATGCTGCATGGTAATTTTCTCAATCACCCTCAGCCGCATATAGGGAATATAAGACATCTAATGATTGTTGTTTTTTATTGGGAAAGGTATGTGCCGCTGCAAGCATGCATGCATTGGGTGCCGACTGAAGAGTCTGCAAGGGGAAGCAAATGGCCAATTAGGTGGGCTAAAAGGTTGCAAGCACCTCCATATTGGTTGAACAGAACTCAGATGGGAATCTATGGAAAACCAGCTCCTGATGATTTTGAAAAAGATTACGAGCACTGGCAAGACGTGATGAACAATTCATATATTAACGGACTTGGCATCAGTTGGTCAAATGTGAGGAATGTAATGGACATGAGAGCAGTTTATGGAGGGTAAAAAAATCCCTTTTTCTCTGCTCGTTATATATTATTTGTATTTGGAAAGGACTTGAACTAACTACATGCTAAACTTTATCTTTCTAGATTTGCAGCAGCATTAAAAGACCTTAAGATCTGGGTCCTGAATGTTGTCAATGTAAATTCTCCAGACACACTTCCCATAATTTTCGAAAGAGGGCTCTTCGGAATATATCATGACTGGTGTGAGTCTTTCAGCACATACCCTCGAACATATGATCTTCTGCATGCTGATCATCTTTTCTCAAAACTGAAAGAAAGGTGAGAGTCTATCTCCTGTAAAGAAAAGTTCATGACATTAAAATTCTAGCAGATCATAATTTCTGTATTTTTTCCTTTGTAGGTGCAAACTTGTGCCAGTGATGGCAGAAATAGATAGAATAGTTAGACCTGGAGGCAAGTTGATTGTTTGTGATGAGTCCGGTGCAATTGGAGAAGTTGAAAACTTGTTAAAATCACTACACTGGGAGGTTCATTTGGCTTTCTCCAAGGATGAAGAAGGAATACTCAGTGCTACAAAATCTGATTGGCGACCAACATATGCTCCGTGATATCTTACCTTGTAGCTTGCAGGTGGGAAACAGCTCCATGTAGCTCAAGATTTGGCACATAGCAATTTGCTGGATTTGCATTCCAAGGGATTTTGTAGAAGAAATAGCATTTCAAGGAGCAGCTCTGTTGCTGTTCTACCAGTCTCAAACATAGACCATGAGAAGGATAACTCCAGGGATGAAATGCAAAGGTGTGATTCAATGATATTGTAATGTGAACTTAAAGATTACTGACAGTACAAGGTTGTTAGCATAAAAGTTAGAATGATTGTAGTACTTTGAATATTTATGGCTTGTGGGTCAATATGACCACAGCCAGAAACTCATGTGTATGAGAAGCTGCTTGTTGGTTAAAGTTCTGTACATTTGATTGATAGTTGGCTTAGCAGCTACAATGCCAATAAGCACCTTCAATGATAGATATAATATGGATTAGTCGGTAAGTTTACACAAGTTTAGAATCATTTTTGCAAAACAACAAATTGAGAATTGCATTTCCAAGACAGGAAAAAGAAAGCTGGGAAGAGGCTTAGGCTCCGTTTGTTTTGATGGAAAACATATCTTCATGGAAAATCATTTTCAAAAGAAAACATTTTTTATTGGAAAACATGATAGTGAAAAGAGTTTTCCTTTCTTTGTTTGATTCTAAGAAAACTTATGGAGAAAAGAAAAATAGAATAGAAGTAAAAGGAGGAGTAAAGAGAAAAATGTGGCAGTTACAAAAGGAAAATGGTGGGAAAATTGTTTTCCACCCTCTAACAAAACAACAAAGGAAAACGGAGAAATGCAGGGAAATTAATTTCAATCAACCAAAACAAACAAAGCCTTAAGGTATACATTTACAATTGAAAAAAAACATACACAGTTCTTTTCCTTTTCCTATTATGATTTAAGGATAAAATGGAACAAAAAGTACTTTAACAAGACATGGTGTGAGACTGTGATTATAAGCCCTATCAATCTATCATGATCCTCATGACTTCATGAGTACATCAGAAAAAACCCATGAACTGTCCTCATATCTAGAACATTATAGTTTTGACAACCAATTGGGGACGATTTTTCTTCAAAAACTTCATAGTAGAGTGATCATGATCAACTACTTGAGAGATTCTTCTGCAACTGCCCGCTCAAGACAGCACTCTGAAGATCTGAATATATAAAAAAAAAAAAAAAAAAAAAAAAAAAAGAAGAAGAAAAACATCATGCAAGATGACAGTTGAGAAGAGACAAGACAAACAAATTCATGTCACTTTAAACTTTTGAATCCAAATCTGAGATAGCATACCATCTGATCCTCCAATATGCTTGCCATTCACAAAAACTTGTGGAACAGTACGTTGACCAACCAGTTCAAGCAGGATATCTTGAATATGAGAACCATCATCTGAAAATGGTGATCAACAGTAGAAACATGTTCAACCAGATTCATTAGGTGTAACAAACGATATTATGGCCTGGACAAACAATAGACTCAAACAATACCTCGAAGGTCAAGCTCCACAACAAATGGCTTTTCCTGCAGTTCATTAAATATACGCTTGGCACGTAAAGAGTATCTGCATCAATGTCGATAATCGTAATTTAGACAATAAAGAGGATGCAAAGTCGAAATTTCCACTTTGAAAAGCACAAAGACAATGGATGTAACACAAAACAATAACAAACAACAAAGACCATGAAGGCACAAATGCCCATAATCTCAGAAACCCTTAAAACCATATGAGTAAATTTGTACAAAGTTGATCAAGTTAAGAACATTAACCACTTGAGTAGCCCAAGTAGAAGAAACAGCAGAGTTAATATTGTTGATTACAACAACTAGCTCAAACTTTCATGGTAATAAGAACTAGGGGAAATCATATTTGTATAATACTACAGAGTGTCAGGGTATGATTATAATTCAAAACAATACTCGCATAATCACAACTGTGGCACTAAAACAATACACATGTAATTTCCCAATAATAATAATTAGTACTAATTTCCCAGTTCCAAATACGATGTCAATTAGCATGGAATATTAATAACAGTGAATAACGCCCAAAAAAAAAAAAAAAATCAAGCCTCTAGAATTGTTAATCCAAAAATCAAAGTGTAATCTTAGTATGATATTTGAACCAAAACCCTAATTAGTAATTACAGTCAAAAGCGCAAAAAAAAACTTCTTCGAGGCAGAGCAACATATAATTATCTGCATAGGGTTTGAAACAAAGTAATGAGGAGAGAGGGAATTACGGGCAGTATGATTTGGAGAAAACAGCAATTCGATTGGAGTAAATGACATTGTTGACGAAGGCAGAAGCTGAATTGCTGGCCATGGCTGCTTTGATTCCGGCATTGTCGCTGACCAGGAGCATCACCGCCATGATCACAAAAAGGGTAAACCTCAACTCACATAAATTCACCCCAATTCGATTACACCGCTTCATCTTTCTCTCTCTTTCTTCTTCACTGCTTTCTCCTTCTATGTCAACAATGTCAACGCCTGATCCTGGTAATACTTCGGAATATTAACTTGTGTTTATTACTTATGTATACACCCAAATAAATGTTCAACCCATTCACTTAGGCCCAATCTCAAATTATACCCCTTCTACTAAGGGCAAAATTTCAATTACTATTCCCTTAGCTCTATTAAATCTTCCTAATTTCTAGATTGTTCTCTTAAGTTTTCCGCATTGAGCGTTTATAATTTTACTTTTACGTATGGTCTTGTTTGATAATTAATGGATACTTGGTTGCTTAGAGATGGTTGTATTGATTATCTTGATAGCATTTGATGTTTTTAGCAAGTTATGTTGTTTGTATTAAAATATTTAATAAAATTAGTTGTTAAATTATGCTTGTATTGTTACCTGAACATGTAAGATGATAAATACTCATAGTTGAATACAGCAATATATTGAGTTTATATTGAAAATAAGATAATTTGGGATAAAGTCATATGCTTGTAGTGGCTCGCCAAAATATTGTTAAGGTCTTACTCAATGTTCCTCCTAAAAGTTGTCAATTGCCTAAAATTTTACAATCAACTAACATAAAAGCTTAATTACTTCCCCAACTTTTTGAAATTAAGAGATTGAATACTTCAACACCAAACAAGACTATATATATAGACGAGTGAAACTCAACTTATTGAATGTTTAGATCAACTCTTACCAAACTATCAATATATCTCATTAATTTAAAATTAATACGAAATAAGCATACTCAAATTTGTGTGTAAAATTATATTAGACCTTTTTGTCCAATTGCTAAGATGGAGTTACCTTCTTAGAAAGAGATGAATAGACTTTTGATATACCTAGTAAAACCATATCCATTCTCAAAAAACACTAATCAGACATATGTTTTTAGTGTATATAAATGTCCACTTTGCGAATAATATTAGTTGTAGTTGTAGTAGTGTCAATTGAGTATGATGAAAGTATTAAAAAGTTGTACACACCATTTGTCAATTATAAATATGCAACTCAATAAAACAGAACAATTTTGAATTGGTAATACAACAATTATGAACTATGATAGGCTGAACTCAATAATTGATTAGATTTTATTCCGATTCCGATTACAATTAGTTGACAAGGGGAAAGAATAAGTTAATTGGGAGAGTTGTTGAATTCCTTCAAAAGCTGATCGTAAGCTTCTAACTCCTCGTAATAAACATCCCACACACATCGAACGCAGCCACTCCCACAGCAATCCCCTGCTTCCGGCTTCTCCGGCGGCGTTGGCAGTTCCTTCTTCTTTGCCGGCGCTGACTCTTTCTCTATCTCTTTATTTTCCTCCGGCGTCATCGGCTTGTTCTCGGCCACCGGAGCGTCAGCCATCAAAGTTGTTGTTCGTGCGAAGATGGGCGGCTTTCTGATTTGTAAATTAATTGTGTTTGGATTGAGTTGGGTTTGACCTCGATGATGATGATACTGAATCAGATTGAATCCTCTCAACCTCAACATGCGCAATTGCAACACCGATCCGCCGCCGTTTTGAGCGTCTTCAATCCTGACTTGAAAGGAGGGGAGATTGAATTTCAATATTGTCTGCATATTTTTCTATGCTTTATTTATATTTTGACCCACTTGTTGCGTGAGGACTATTCCCTGGACACTTGGCGGTGTTTTATTTGTTGTTACGTCTCTTATTAATCTGTCAAAAATACTGTGGCCCTCTATCCTCTTGGGCTGATAGGATGTGTGTTAATCTGGAAGCTCAACACCCATTTTTTAAAGATTTGAAATCTAATCTTGTCCTCTGTATACATTAGTGTATCATATTATATCAACTACATGACTCGGTAATTGTTTGGTTGACATCAAAATATGTTAATAAGTACTTCAAAATGAAGTTGTTTGATTGATTAAAATATGAGAATCTACACCTTCTAAGAAACTCACAAAATGAATGAATTGAAGTTGATGTCCCATAAAACGGTAACATTTTCTCATGCCTATAAGAGTTTGTAAGTACAGTACTTTGTTTTTCGTCTACAAATTTTAATTTCACTTTTTTAAAATGATTGTTATCACTCAATTTCAATCATTATTTTAATTCAATTGTCTATTAGTATAAGATGCTTCTCCATCTCACATTAGTCTAAAACACTTAGATGTATGGGAAAGATTGAACGAATAAGTTCTATATATAAAAGACAAGAGTGCAACCATGCATGCAAGTGGCTTTAATTAAGTAGAATTATCACTAAAACAAAAACAAAAACAATTGCTATGCTATGCGATCTGTACGTGGGAGTGTGACAGAATATTCAAAAAGCTGATGAAAAGTTATGCTTTCAGTATATGAATAATATCCCATTTGTCTGATTATAGTTCTTATTAATTATATTATTATGTACGTCATCATTCCCATAAGTGTTGAAGCATAAAACAATTGCAGTAGGTCTCTTAGCTTATTTCATTCTCTGTGCTCATAATCTTGCCGCAATTCAAAACCATGTCTTCCTTGAGCAGCTTACTAGGTAACTTCATTTTTTTATATATGCAATTCTTATACTTCTTTCCTGCTACCAACTTTGCTTGTGTGATCAACTTACATATTAACGCTATATCCTGCTTCTTCATATTAGGTGACTAGCAATAATGTATATGCTATGCTATTTGAATTAAGAAACAATTTGTTGTACTGATCACACTTCATCCGTTCCACAGAACGAATGTTTACTTAATTAATGCTCGCTCTACTTATTTTGCTTAGATGTATGAAGTGCCACTTTCCAAGTATAAGTACTAATTATAATGCCTGTAAAGTTTCCATTTGCATAGCAATTATCTATTTGAGGAGCCAAATACTCTAATTACTCCACCTTTAAACCATATGCAGGGCTTTTCCATGAGGTCAGAGGAAAATATTTTGCTTTGAGTTCTTCCTCATTTCACAGAACTGTAATAGATGCCGTGAACCTTATTTTCCTGGTCTTCTTTTATTTGGTTGTCGGGCTTGCAATCTGTAGCAGAGAGCGCATGCAAAGGACTTACAATAGGAACTGTCTTTTTCTTGTCGTTTCAATATGCAGCGCTCTTTTAAGTATTGCATATCTCAGTGTAGGATCATGGGACCTTTTGTCGAGTTCTGAGCAACTAGAGAAACTAATTTGGCAAATTTATGTTCTTAGGGGAGTAGTTTGGTTCTCCATAGCAGTGTCTTTAAATGTTCAAAGGGCAGGATGGGTCAAGATTTTTGTATGTACATGGTGGACATCTTACTTTGTACTAGCCTCAGTCATAAATGTAGAGTTACACATAAGAAAAGAAATTCACATCTTAGATGTTGTGCAATGGCCGATAACTGCTTTGCTGTTTGTTTGTGTTGTCAAAATGATGATGCTAAGCCATGATTCTGTTGAGTTGACTGTAACTACTGATTCTTTATCCGAGTCATTATTATCTGAAGAAACTCGGAAATGTCAAGCTCACCGAGTTAAGCTCAGTTTCTTGAGTAGTTTAACCTTCAGTTGGCTTAATCCATTACTTGATTTGGGCTATTCAAAACCCTTAATTCTTGAGGACATCCCCTGTCTATATCCTGAAGATGAAGCCAGTTTAGCTTACAAGAAATTTAGTGATGTATGGGACAACTTGACCAAGGACAAAAGCTCAAAGAGCAAGCAAAACCTGGTTATTAGAACCTTGGCCAAAGTTTACTTGAAAGACATGTTGTTTGATGGGACATTCGCTTTAGCTAGAACAATAACTGTAGTAGTCTCTCCCTTGCTACTGTATGCCTTCATTAGATATTCAAATGACAGTACGGAACATAATCTATATCGAGGTTTTTTTTGGTTAGTTTGTCTGGTAGTTGTTAAGGTGGTTGAATCTTTGTCCCAAAGGCAATGGAGTTTTCATGCAAAAAGGTCAGGAATGAAAATAAGATCTGCTTTGATGGTGGCTATTTTCCACAAGCAGCTAAAACTTTCTGCCGTAGCAAGAAAGATGCACTCAACTGGTGAGATAGTTAACTACATAATGGTGGATGCTTATCGTATGGGTGAAATCTCCTGGTATTTCCATTCAGCCTGGAGTTGTCTACTACAGCTCCTTCTATCACTAGGAATCCTTATTGGAATCGTGGGCCTTGGAGCTTTACCAGCCTTGGTTCCTCTTGTTATCTGCGGGATCTTCAATATTCCGTTTGCCAAACGACTCCAAGAGTGCAAGGCTGAGTCCATGACAGCCCAGGACAAGAGATTGAGAGCCACTTCAGAGATCCTCTCTAGCATGAAGATCATTAAGTTGCAATCATGAGAAGAACATTTCCTGAAGCTGATCTATTCACTCCGAGACAATGAGTTTAAATGGTTGAGGGACGCACAGCATAATGTTGCCAACGGCACTGCCTTATTTTGGCTATCCCCCACAATAATCTCTTCAATGGCCTTTTGGGGTTGCTCTATTTTCAGGAGTGCTCCCTTAGATGCTGTCACTATGTTCACCATCATTGCAACTTTAGGAGTTATGGGGGAGCCAGTTGTACAGTTGCCTGCAGTTTTCTCTTCAATAATCCAAGCAGTGGTGTCATTTGATAGGATCAATACATTTCTGCTAGATGATGAAGTATATATTACTTATGCTATTGGAAGTAGTACAATAGTAAATCCAGAGAGCAATGTAGTATTACAAGATGGAAATTTTAGCTGGGATCCAGAATCTCCAACATTAACCTTGAGAGATTTATCTTTAGAGGTGAGGGCAGGTGAGAAAGTTGCAATTTGTGGGCCTGTTGGAGCTGGGAAATCTTCACTTCTTTATGCTTTACTTGGTGAAATGCCCAAAATATCAGGCAGGGTAAGGCATTCTTTTGTTCTTGTTTGTAAGTATAATTTATCCTCTAAAAAATGCTTTTCGTCTGACACTTCCTGTATTTTGGTTGATGTGTTTGGATCCATAGCATATGTTTCTCAAAGTGCTTGGATACAAAGTGGAACAATTCGCGATAATATATGCTACAGTAAGCCAATGGACAGCAGAATATATGAGAAGGCCATCAATGCTTGTGCTCTTGGTAAAGACGTCATGAACTTTAGCCACGGTGATCTGACAGAAATTGGTCAAAGAGGTATAAATTTGAGCGGAGGTCAGAAGCAGCGGCTTCAGTTGGCTCGAGCTGTTTATAGTAATGCTGATTTTTACCTCCTTGATGACCCTTTCAGTGCAGTTGACGCACATACTGCAGCTGCCCTATTTAAAGTGAGCAAACTGACTCATGTTCTACTATTTCACTAATTTCAAAAAAATAAAAAGTAAAAATTGATATTTTGATGTGGTTATTGCAAAGACTAACTGCTGATGGTTTTACAGACCTGTGTCATGGGTGCTTTAAGGAACAAGACCGTAATTCTAGTCACCCATCAAGTGGAGTTTCTGTCACAAGTTGATAAAGTTTTGGTATAAAATGAATAGAAATACTTCTGTTTTACAATAAATATTGGTAGTTCTTCGTTCAAGAGCAAAGAAAGGCAACTTAGCTTGTTGTGGGGGCCTGTGCAGGTTATGAAAAGCGGTCAAATTACACAATATGGAAGCTATGAGGATCTTTTGATGATTGGAACAACATTTGAGCAGCTTGTCAATGCACATAAGAACGCAGTTACACAGTTAGGTCATTCAAGTATTGCACCAGAAAGAGAACTTCACCAGGCTACATTTGACAGACCAGTAGTGTTTTCTGACACTTGTGACGACAATAGTGACATTCCTGAGAAAAGTACACCACTGCAACTAACAGAAGAGGAGGAAAAAGGAGCCGGAGATGTAGGATACAAGCCATACTTGGATTACATATCGGCCTCAAAGGGTCTAACTGTCCTGTTTTTAAGTGTAATCTCACAGATTGGTTTTGTAGCTTTCCAAGCTGCTTCAAGATATTGGTTAGCTTTTGCGATTCAGATTCCTGAACTAAGCATGAGCACTTTAATAGGGGTTTATGCAGGACTTTCCTTCCTTAGTATAATATTTGTACACCTCAGGTCTTTGTTCACAGTTAAGTTAGGCCTTAAAGCTTCCAGAGCTTTTTTCAAGAGTTTCATGAATTCAATATTCAGAGCTCCAATGCTTTTCTTTGATTCAACTCCAGTTGGACGAATTTTGACTAGAGTAAGATGATATCTAATCTATTTATCTTCTGATTAAGTTAATGTTATCTTTCTAGTATGAATGATTTTTCCTACCTCGATCTGCAGGCATCATCAGATTTTAGCATTTTGGATTTTGAAATACCTTTTGGAATTTCCTACGTGTTGTCTGTTGCAATTGAGGTCGCAGGAATTATTTTGGTCATGGCCATGGTGACTTGGCAGGTACTCATTGTGGGAATTCTTACCTTGGTAGCATCAAATTTAATTCAGGTACTTTTTCCTGAACCATCTGTGCCTAATTATTATCTTCCTTAACTTATCATTTTTTATTGACCTTTCCTTGAAATACTTCAGAATAAGTATCTTGCTTCTGCAAGGGAGATAATACGTATAAATGGAACCACAAAGGCACCAATCATGAATTATGCAGCTGAGGCATCTCAAGGGGTGATAACTATCAGGGCATTTAAAGAGGTAGATCAGTTTATCAGCAAGTACCTGAAGCTTGTCGATACTGATGCTAAGCTATTTTTCTACTCAAACACGACCATGGAGTGGTTGATTATAAGAATTGAGGC